TTTCAACATAATGATGTCACATTGTTACCATGGCCACCAAGATCTCCCGACTTATCCCCAATTGAGCACGTGTGGGATATGATGGGTAGGAGATTGCTCAATTTGCAACGTCCTCCTCAGACTCTAGAAGCACTTCGAGAGGAGTTGGTGGTTGCCTGGAATGAGATACCACAGGAGGACATTGACCACCTGATCAGAAGCATGCCTAGGCGCGTTGGAGAATGCATAGCACATCAGGGTGTATCTACACATTATTAAAGGTCAAAGGGCTTTAAAGCAGTGCAATCATTTTGAAATTTTTATCATTTACTTATTATGCTTCATTAAGTACGTATACAAAATTTTATTAAAATAAAACCATTTAAACTGGGTGTTCGGATTTATATGTCACTTAGTATAATTGGCACGCCTGTTTTTCACGATTATTCTTCTTAACGTTCTTCGGACGGCATTTGTGATATTACTTGTTTTCACATATCGTGGCTTAATATTAACTGAACCAGTTACGTTATATCTTCTAACAATATTTCTCACACTGTACCGAGATAAGTCTAACAAAGTTGCAATTTCTTAGTTTGATTTCCCAGAATTAAAAAATTTAATTATCAGTAACCGAATTTTCTCACTAATAACCTTTCCTCTACCCATTTTGAAAACCTTAACTACCCAAAACTATTTTAAATGTATTCTGACAGCTGTGATTAATAAAAACAATTGTCATGGCTTTTATTTTTCACAGCCACCCATGCGTTTTAGACTTATTTTGCATTGAAATGAAAATAGGTTGATATGCTGTAATTGCAACATGTGTTATTTTTATGCTGCAAATTTGATTAGGGAGTGATAAAGTTGGTGTTTTCTACTATATATTATCAAAATATTCATTCTTAGTATTTTAAACCTATCCTGCTACATTTTTATTATTTGTGTTTGATAAGAAAAAAATTAAGATTTCAATAGTTGGGCCAACTGAAGTGGGAAGGGGCTCGTATACTTGAACTAAAACAAAAGACCAAACAAATTTAAATCAAGACCGTAACGTTAAGAAAAAGAATGTCGAAAGGCAGTACTTTCTACAGTACTAATGACATGTATACAGGGTGTTTTAGAACTAAGGGATCAAACTTCTAGCGGTTATTCAGTGTAACAGTAGAAAACATTTGAGTATAGGGACCCATATCCGGAATGGCACTAAGGCCCTATAACGTGTTCAAATTTAGAAAGACGATGAATTGCCTAAATAGGATTTAATACATTTAATTTTTGCCTTTTGTACATGATATCATCACAACAATTGTTCAAAATGTCTTCCTCCAACCTGAATACACCGATTTAAACGTCGCACATGATTTCGGCGGACTTCACAAAAATTTGATACTCGTTTTGAATGATTTCATATGCTGCTGTAATTCGTCCAATTAAGTCTTGCTCTGTTTCTAATGAATTAAACCAAAGACTTTACATGTCTTCATAGGAACGGTGTATTCAGGTTGAAGGAAGACATTTTGAACAATCGCTGTGATGATATTATGTACAAAAGGCAAAAATTAAATGCATTAAATGCTATTTAGGCAATTCATCGTATTTCTAAATTTTAACGCGTTCCTATACTCAAATGTTTTCTACTGTTACACTGAATAACTCCTAGAAGTTTGATTCCATAGTTCTGAAACACCCTGTACTGTATTTCGACTTCGCCAGTTCTCATCCAAGAACCATTTCGAGGAATTTAATTAAAACTCGTTATTCGACTTCCTACGCAGTTATAGCAGCTCAGTTGACACAACGATTAAAAAAGTTTAAAAACTGCGCAAAACGATACCTATGAAAGAGACCAGTATCATTAATTAAAAGCAAAAATGGAATCAAGCTTCGGTCTCTGTGCTGCCTACGCGGTGTTTTCTCCTGAACTTTAAGGCATTGTTTTTGTGGTCTCAAGTGTTTTAAAGCTCTGGAAATACGTATTATCATCGTCTTTGAGCTCAAAGTTTCCAAGCATAATTTTTTATCACATCTGACATTTACGAAATTATTAGTTACTTAAATGTATGAAAATGAAATTACAAGTTTTATCAGCTTTTACCGAACTCATTTATGTAACAGTTTTTTTGTTTCCTACCATAACCATTCACCCAATCCTACTCATTTGATGACTGAGAAGATCCTTTGAATATGCTCTGAGTATTTTTAATGGCTGTTTGTATAGATATAGAGATAGAATTACACTCACAACACTGATATTGGAATGCCAATTTTTTTTTGAAAAATACAGTTTAGTGCCTGGTAGTCAAATAAGCAGGTAGGTTCTGCTACAACCGGATGCCGTTTATTTAATAAAGTTGAACGAAAAAGTCAATGTATTTTTTCGCGATGGTCGATTCATGATTTGGATGTAAAACGGGGAATTCGACTTTCCCAGGTTTTTCCTTTGTCCGGGTTTCCCTACGTACCTGGAAAATAGTAAAACATGTGGCATGCTATTAGTCAGTATTTATGTGTTATTTTTTAAAAACAATGAATGAAAAATATTATTAATATGATTTTTTTGCCTAAGATCTATACCACTTACCCTATGTCCTACTACGAGTACGCCAAGTCCATGGCGATTTTTTGGGCTGTCTACATTATTATATATATTGTCTAAAACCCTTCTAGTACCATATTTGATGTAAGGGTGTGTAGTACTTTACAGTTAATAATTATACACAAAGTTTCGCCACTGTCTTCTGTCTTTTGCATGTATTCTAGCTTCTGCTGCTGTAATTCCCCTCCTTTTTAATTTTTCTTCCATAGCTTTATCCCACGTTGTTTTAGGTCTTCCTCTCGATCGACTTGGTACCGTCCTTGCCTGCCATATTCTTTTCACTTCCCTAGTGTCCTTCATCCGGTTTATGAGTCCAAACCATCTCAGCTGACTTGTTTCGATCTCCGCTGTCTCTGATCCTGTCTTATTTGTTCGTTTCTTATTTTGTCTGCTCTCGTGACGCCTGTGATCCTCCTCAAGAATTTCATCTCCAGCGTTTGCAGTCTTTGTTTCATTTTCTTGGCCAGCACCCATGATTCTGATCCCCATAAAAGAACAGGTAAGAAAACTGTTTTACATATCTTTAAATTGGTATCGAGTGATTGTTCCTTTTTTTCTAACCATGTTTTATTTAGAGCATAGTACAGTTTCACAGCAGCATTTATTATTTCATTTAGATCACTTTCCTGTCTTCCTTTAGAGTCGACTATGGTTCCTAGATACTTGAATTCACTTACGCGTTCTAGTCTTTGTTCTACTAGTAGGGCGGCATTGTTTTCGTGTCTTGCTATTGCCATCATTTTACTCTTATCTGTGTTTATTTTCATGTTCGTGGACGGGAGAGATTGGTCCCATATATACTAAGTGACATATATATCCGAACACCCAGTTTTAATGGTTTTATTTTAATAAAATTTTGTATAAGTACTTAATGAAGCATAATAAGTAAATGATAAAAATTTCAAAATGATTGCACTGCTTTAAAGCCCTTTGACCTTTAATAATGTGTGGATGCACCCTGATGTGCTACGCATTCTCCAACGCGCCTAGGCATGCTTCTGATCAGGTGGTCAATGTCCTCCTGTGGTATCTCATTCCAGGCAACCACCAACTCCTCTCGGAGTGCTTCTAGAGTCTGAGGAGCACGTTGCAAATTGAGAAATCTCCTACCAATCATATCCCACACGTGCTCAATTGGGGATAAGTCGGGAGATCTTGGTGGCCATGGTAACAATGTGACATCATTATGTTGAAAGAAGTCTATTGTGACTCTTGCAACATGTGGTCGGGCATTATCTTGTTGGAAAGTTGGATCTGCCAGGGTGTCAAGATAGGGTAAAAGATGGGGTTCTAGAACTTCGTGGATATAACGCTGCGTGGTTCGTGTTACCTCTGATGAAGATTAAAGGTGACCTGGAAATATAAGCTATAGCACCCCAAACCATAACTCCAACAGTGTAATGAACATGTCTTTCAACAAAAAACTGTGGATTCCTCCATTCACCACGTCGCCTTCTAACCCTGGCACGACCATCGTGCATGCCTAAACAAAATCGAGACTTGTCATTAAAGACAATACTGTTCCATTCCTGATCCCAGAGTGACCGTTGTCTGCACCACTCAAGGCGATTACGTCGGTGTTCTCGAGTTAAAGGGAGGACTCAGTGTGGCTGGTATGAAACCATTTAAACTGGGTGTTCGGATTTATATGTCACTTAGTATATTATTATTATTAAGCTGTGAAGGTTATTCGAAATTTCAATCTTTTAGAATTTAAATACATTAAGCCCAAAAAAATACTTACCGGCTCATTTGTGAGTGACAATGCTTTCACTGTCTTCTGAGAATTCTAATTATGGGACTTACGAGGTTTTTACACGGACCGATTCAATGTTTAATAGGAATCCGATTTTTGCAGCTAATTTTCAACTCGGGATGTGTAAGCTTTTCGAAAAGTCCTTTGTTTAATAATAATTTTCATCTACAATTTATGATGTAAGATATGCTTCACATAACAAAGTAAACGTTGTGTGCTTATATAACAAAACTACTTTCATATTCTCATAATCAATAACAAAATGACGAAAATTATTCTGCTAATGGTCCTTTTTATATATAAGTTTCTTATTAATTGGACATGGGGTCTAATGAAACACAGTTTCCTGTTATAAAGCTATCGATGTTTAGGAAAAATCAGGGGTCCTTTTACCTTTAGTAAAAATAAAAATATAAATAAAAACGTTATGCACATTCTAGAAATGATTTAGACTGCAACACATCAATATAACAAACAAAAGACTATTAGAAGTACATCCAGACAGAGATTGTTTGTTATACGAGGGATGTCTTTTAAGTTTTGCATATGGAAATAAAACAACACGGTAGGTAGTTTTAAATGACTTTACTGCTTTTCGAAGTATTCTCCACGAAGATTAATACACATCTGCATGCGCTCGAACCAATTTTCGAAGCACTTATTCCTCTCGTTTGCTGGCAGATCCAAAACGGCATTTCTGAATGCGTCAACTGCTTCTTCTGGTGACTGGAACCTTTGACCACGCAGTCTGTTTTTAATTTTCGGGAAAGTAAAGAAATCGTTAGGACTTAGATCGGGACTATATGGAGGATGGTCCAATAATTCCACGTTTTCTTCCGTTAAATACTGCCTTGTTTTTGGGCTGTGTGCGAGCTTGCATTGTCTTGGTGGAGGATGATTCTTCTTTCGTGGTTGATTTTTTGAAGCTCGGTGATGACTTTTGGAAACCAAATGGTGGTATACCAATCCGCAGTAACAGTTCTTTGCTCATTAAAAAGAATTGTTGCAATATGACCCGCTTTTGACACAAATGTCGCGACGATCTTTTTCGAAACACTTCGAGAACGGATGACTTTTGTTGGCTTTTGTTCACCTTGGTACACCCAAACAGCAGACAGTCGTTTATTTTCTGGTTCATAATAGTAAATCCACAATTCATCACCACTAACAATGCTGTACACATTTTTTGAGTTTCCGGAATTGTAAGGGTCAAGCGTTTTTTGACACCAATTAACCCTGGCTGCTTTCTGCTCTTCAGTCACCAGGTGGTGTATCCAACGAGAAACTAATTTTCTTACTCTTAATTCTTCATGTAAAATTTTTTGAATTGAAGTCTTTGTGATCTTCAAGGTTGCCTCAATCTCGCGATATGTCACATCTCTATCTTCAATGATGAATTTGCGCACAGCATCGACGTTTTCCTGGGTGACTGCCGTTTTTGGTGCACCCACCCTGGGATCGTCGCTAAGACTCACCCGTTTGAATTCTCCATATCAACGGGAAATTGTCGACTCATGTGGCGCTTCGTTGCCGAAAACAGACAGTAACTCAGCAAGGCATTCTTGTTGCGATAATTGTCTCTGAAAGTTGTAATAAATTATGGCGCGAAAATGTTCTCGGTTGAGTTCCATTTTTCTAATGACTTGGTGACACTTAAAAATTCACTGTTGTGAGAACACTGCACGTATTGTGAAACTTTGATTTTGAGTTTACTAAAGAGTGAGGTTAAGATTCAGTACTGACGTTCGATCCGCCCGGCCTACTATGTTTCTATATGCAAAACTTAAAAGACATCCCTCGTATTGATCAGTTGCAGACTAAATAATATCTAAATAATAAACTGTGTTTCTTTAGATCCCGTATCCAGTTGATTGCAAGAAATGTAACAAAATGACGGTCCATTCGCGGGTATTTACCGTTTCCTCTCCCCAGATAAATGCTAAACGATTCCCTTTGGCCTTGGTTGCCAGGGCGCTCGTATAGCACTTTCGATTGATCAATCTAATTAACATGGACAGCGTTGTGTAGCCAGGTTGGCTGTTCTCCAACATCACGTCCTTTTATTGAGACCCTCATGACATTTTTCAGCGAACAGAGCCTCCATTCGATAATAATTGCAACGTGCACCGGGTTGTTAAATATCACATGCAGAGAACTGGGACAATGAAGGTTACCGCGAGCTTTAGAAATTCATGATACCGCACGTCTTTATCCTTGTGTTCATCTGATAATCGAGATCAAAGTTGAGGGAAGCTGTAGCTTACCGGTTTAGTATCGCACATCGAGCAGTGGAAAAATTACGGAACAAGTCCAGGAAAATATGCTTAAATTCGAGCGTTGATTTAGGTACTACTAGTTTAAGGTCATGTTTTCGTCTAATATTGTAACATATTCAATGTTTCAAATTTAGATTTATTTTAAAAAATAAGAGTTGCCGTTTCCAAAATGAATAATGATACGACAGTCATTACTTTATGGTTCACAAAGGCCTGCATATACAGGGTTTGTCCGGGAAATAATAGGACTGAGTCGATTTAAATAAATTTATTGAGCCAATCGTTACAATTCTTTAAAAACTTTCAAAATAGGCTCCTTCTGCGTCGATGCAGCGCTGCCAGCGCGATTTCCAAGCATTGAAGGCGTCACGGAAGGTATTCTCCGGAATAGCCTTGAGAGCCGCGGTGCATGCTGCTTGGATCCCCTCTGTCATCTTAAAATGCTTGCCTTTCATCGGCCTTTTCAGGCGAGGAAACAAAAAAGTCCGGGCGGGCCACATCTGGGCTGTAGGGCGGCTGCGGAAGCGTTGGGATGCCGGCCTTGGTCAGGTAGCTGTTCACAAGAAAGGCGGTGTGAGCCGGGGCGTTGTCGTGGTGCAACTTCCAGTCGGCTGCGATGTCTTGTCGGACCCGACTGACCCTTCGTTTGAGTCTCCTGAGCACTTCCACGTAAAACTTGGCGTTGACGGTTTGTCCAGGAGGAACAAATTCATGGTGGACGATACCTTTGATGTCACTAAAGACAATGAGTATCGTTTTCACTTTGGATTTGCTAATTCTTCCCTTTTGTAGACGAGGAGACGCCGTCGTGTGCCACTCGGAAGATTGCCTCTTTGTCTCGGGATCATACTCAAAAATCCACGACTCGTAACCTGTGATTACGTTATTCAAAAATTGGGAGTCACTTTCACACATGTTCAAATTTTCTTGGCACACTTCTACTCGCCGCAATTTCTGGTCGTCAGTGAGCACTTGTGGGACCATCTTCGCGCACACCTTGCGCATGTTCAAATGCTGTGTCATAATGTCATGAACCACAAATTTTGGTAAATATAACAGCTGGGCAATTAAACGAATACTTAGTCGAGTTCAAAACTTTGCGCACACGAGTCACATTATCGGTGTTTGTCGAAGTCGAAGAAGTTCCAGCACGCTCTTCATCAGCGACCTCTACCCGGCCCTCAAACGTCTCTGTCGCAAATTTACCGAGTTTCACACAGAATTTAAATCGCGTACCTCTGCTCTAACGAACGCTGCATTTTCGTCTTGCACCACCCACTGAAACACGTCGCACGAAAATGCCTGTCCTGACTCTCCAAGTGTTCGGAGACAACTGACCAGCCGCTCATTCGTTAGCTAGGAACGCCCTCTACCGAATCCAGGCGGTGCGCGCAAGCTCCGAAGTACTGTCATGACGGAAGAAAATGAGTCCTATCACTTTCCGGACAAATCCTGTAGCTTTAGGATTGATTTTGATTGTATATCTAATAATTCGTTTTTGTATAAAAAGCACTTATTTTAACAATTTTGGGAACAGACACACCAAAAGGTGATGTGTACTTTCAAATAAGGCATACTCTCTAGGTACTTAATGCTATGCTTTTCTCTACGGTGTAACTAATTCTTATAATAAAGGAAATACCTGCTAGTTGAGTGAGCAATTTGTCTACAAGATTAGAAAAATCTAATTTATGATCCATGGTCGGTCCCAAAAATACGAAAGTGTCTATTTTGTATATCAATTCATTGAGATTTATACAATCAAGTGAGCATTTAAAAGTCATAAATTTTGTCTTATTAACATTTAAAGTCACGTATTGTTGCCACACCATTTTTTGATTGATTGTATATCACTATCAATTAATCACTAATTAATCACTATCAAAAAATAAAATGATTTCATTTATATCTGTGTCTCGTCAAAATATTGTGGTATCGTCACTAAAAACTACGAATTTACCATGTATATTAAATCATTGATATAGACTAAGAACAGGATCGGACCTAATACTGATCCTTGACGTACCCTTGCGATTATATTTGATTTATTTGAAATATAATGATAATTTGTGATTAATTATTATAATATGTTTTAAACCAATGGAATGAAGTTCCAGTACAACCATATTTGTTTAATTTTTTCAATAATATGTCATGATTTCATAGTCAAAAGCTGTGGAAAAGTCACAATAAAGAGCTATTGAAATTTGAAGTTAATTCTTGGAAAATTAAATAAAACCCCCGGAACTTTTTTTGTTTTTGAAATCCATATTGTTGGTTTTTAGAAAGTATCTTATTCTAATTTGAACCATTTCGCAATTTTCTGGTAAACCGTTTGATACTACTTTACAGATAGAAATACATGTTGATGTTTTCAAAAATTCTGAGTAAAACACCTTTATTAAGAAAAATATGTAACCTATATGATTATACAGGGTGACTTCGAAGTTGAGTCATTTATTTTAACAGTGAGTAGATCTGATGAAAAGTAATGTTTTTTCCTTTACCATTTTTCTGGTAAAATTAAAGTAACAAAGTTATAGCCCTTTGGAAGTTTGAGTACCGCCCTGTCTCAATAATAATATTATGTTCTCGTGTTTGGCAACAACGGATATAATCCGCCTTATCGGTTCATCGCATCGGAAACAAAAAAGCGAAAGAATTTGGAACGATGTTTTTACAATTATTTTATTCAGTTGTATACAGTCAGTGTCAGTCGGTAACGCGTGAGTGAATAGTGGTGTCTGTTGCGTGGCTCAAACGAAATCAAAAATGGCACATATTTACGAAAATGCTGAACTTGTGGACATGATTCTTATTTACGCGGCATCACGGATTTATGCGGATCGGATACCCAATCGAGTGCAACCAACCCCTCGTGCCTTTGTTAATGTAGTACAAAGGGATCGTGAATCAGGTGACTCAAGACCTCACAGGGGAGGGCATGCGGGTGCTCCAAGACCGCACGATCAAATACAGGTCCGCACTGAAATACTTGTCGGGAGGATACTTTATAAAACAAGGTAACATTTTTTTTAATGTTTTTTTATTTGTACACACATATTTTGGTTTATCTTCCTTCTACAATCATTATCTGAAAATTAATGACTCAACTTCAAAGTCACCCTGGATATATAAATAGGAAAATAATTGGCAAAATCTGCAAAAAGAAGGAAAGTGGATGCGAGTAGAAAATAGGATAGGTAACCCTAGCGATACGTATTTCTGCTGGTTGGCTTCATCAGGCCCGAAATAAATGCACATATGCAACTACAAAAGTATATACACATGCCCATACATCCAGATACGGGTGTAACCTGAGGAAACGAAGTTGGAGAGGGAAAAAAATACATGATGGCCTACTTCAAGATTTGTGCCAAAATATGCCTTTATAAAATAAACATGACGAAACTATTTACTTCTAAAGCAATTTACTTTCTCGAAAACATTTTAGATACACTCTAGTCGTAAAAAATACATATTTGAAATCACTTAGACCTATAACTAATAGAACATCTGAACAAATAAACAATGTGCGAATAAATGCGCCAAGTTAACAAAGCAACAATTGAAAGATTACCATTTGGTAACATCACCTTTATTTTTTATTACGGCTGAAATTCTTTGGGGCATAGTGTTAACCAAGTTTTGGCAAAAATTTGGTGTAAAACAATCCCTTATTTCTTGAAGCTTTTGTCTCAGTTCGGTGATTGTACGAGCAGGATGTTGTCGTAGAACCTTTTTCATCTCGTGCCACAAAGTTTCAATAGGTGACAGATCTGGACTGCTAGAAACCCATTTCAAAAGTGGTACATTATTTTCTTCCATCCATTTTATAGCCTTTTTTGAGGTATGGCACGCTGCACCATCTTGCTG